CCGCTCTCGAGGCCGTTGAGCTCGAACGCAGGCGCCGCGAAGGTTACCCCGCCGCTGCCCGGCGAGGCCGCCGCGATGCCCGCGGAAATGCTTCGGGGGGGCGGGGAAATGCTCCAGGGGGGCGATCCAGAACCCGCCTCGGAGATCAGGGAAAATCGCGCGCCCAGAAACCCGGCGGCGCAATCGATCCCTAAGGCAGACGCCTCCGAGCCGAAGCGCGCCGCGCTATCAGGGCGCCCCCGGGCCAGCGCAGGCTCCACATCGATGCCAACTCTGTCCGACAGGGCGCGCGAGACTCCGGGAGGCCCCCGCGCCTGCGGCCGCCGATGGGCAGAGGCCCCGATGGGCTCGAGCGCGGCCCTCCGACCGGGGTCGAGCCGACGCCGCGGAGACAAGTGAAGCGCGGGGGCGCGGCTCTCGCCGACGGCCTCCGCGCCGAGGGGGGCGGCCACCTGAGAACGCGTCGACTCGACGACGACGACGACGACGACGACGACGATGGCGACGATGACGACGACGATGAAAATGGCGACGACGATGACGACGACGAAGACGACGTCGGCTCGAGCTCCTTGATAGCGGTTCCCTGGGCAGGGGCCCCGCGCGCCGCGGCGGTGCTCGAAGCGGCCGGCGACGTCGGGGGCGAAAAATGGCATAAGCATCACAACTCGGAGGTCCGCGCGGATTTCTCGGATCCGCGCTGGGCCCCCCTCTCCTGAAGGGGCCCGCAAACACGCAAATAAATGCACACAAATGAAAAGAGTCCCCATATTTTCCATATTTTTGGGATTTTCGTCTTCCCCCCCGCTTCCCATAGTTTCCCATATGTTCTGTGGGATCGACGATTAATTGTGTCTGTGTGTTTTTTCCCTCCTGAATCTCCGGCGCGCGGAGCGCGCCAGGGGCTGCGCAGGAGGCGCCGCCGGGGGGCCCCGGCGCCGATGCGAGAGATCCGCGCGGACCTCAGAGTTTGTATGTCTACGTGTTCCCCTAGAGAAGCGCCTCCGTGGAGGCGTTTCAAACGCGCGGGGCTACTTTCCACCGCCTTGCTCCGCTCCTTTGCGCATTGCCCCGGCAAGCCCTCGCCAGGAAGAAAGAAAAATCCACGCGTTGCGCCCGACAAGAACGCGGGTTGCCTTGGCGGGCGACGGCTGCGGGCCAACCCATTCCGGGGGCGCGACGCCAGCGATCGCGCGGCTCTTGTCAGGGGCAATGCGCAAATCAACCTCGCCGAGCTCTCGGATCGGAGCAGCTCCAGCACCGGCAATGCCAGAACTCGCGCGGACTCGCTCGCCAGAACGCAGCAGCCCGAAACCGTCGGAGATAATGGAAAGAGAAACGTTGAGAAACTCGCGATGCACGGCGATCAAGGGCCCCGCGCCCCGCCAACGCGACCTGCAAAAGCACAGAGGCTTCAGCTGCCACAAAAGGAATCTGGGTAAGACCAGGAGCCTTCATAAGGTGGACATGCTTCACAAGCTCGATGACAGTCTTCGAGCCCAGGAGAAGCGCGGAAGAACGAAGGCCCTGCGCATGATGGCACTCAGCACAGACAGCCTGGACGCTGACGCATACGTCAGCATTTCTACCTTGTTCCGCGCCATAGCGAGCGAGTTCTGCTTGCCATTCCAGGGTGGGCGGCCTCCTCAGCTTGCTCTGGATGCGGCAGTCGCAACGGAACATGCCCAAGAGACGAACGGCTCTAATCCGCATCGAATCGGATACAATCTCGCTGGCCCGAGGCGGCTGATCGGCCCGCGCCTCGGCCGCCCCGGCCAGGGCGCGCGGGAGATCGAGCTCCGTGCCGGGCGGCGCAAGCGCAAGTACTAGGCGAAACCAAATCGTTTTCGCAGACTGCGCCAGCCCGAGAAGGAAGCAGCGCCTTCCTTACATCAGAGAGGGCGGGTGGTGGGAGAGAGAAGGCGTGGCCCGATGTCGCTGGGCCAATGCAGGTCCGGCTGCTTCGACCGCCCCGCCACTTGCCGCCGCCTCGCACGTTCCTCCCCGAGCCCCCCCCGCCCCCCAAGTGCCGGCGTCGGGGCGATGGGCGATGGAGACAACGGCAGAGAGCAGCCGGGGGTCGGGTCACTGAACGCACTTCAAAGACCCGCGGCTCATCCGACAGTGTGAGATTTCACCCATGGGTCCCAGCTGGCGATCTTCATCTGGCCCCCCTGCTTGCGGGGCTTGTCTGCATGCTCGCTGGCGATGCTGGCGAACAAGCTGAAAACTGCGTAGTCCAGCTGCTTGATCCTGCCAAGAGCGCCTAGAAGGGCGATCGAGACGTCTGGATTCGGCACTTCTGGAGAACCCTGGAGCCAGCGTTACATCGCTGCGCGCCTGCGCCGTGGCTTTAGAGAGCGACTTGAGCACCCGGGCCAAGGTCCCCCACCAGGCAGCGCGCGGGCAAGGCCTAGGAAAAAGGGGACAGGCGCAGGCTTCGCGGGCTGGCGCGTCCACGCCTGGACACCGCTGGCACGCCCCAAATAGGGTCGGGCCAGCGCGTCGGGGATCAGGGGGAACGGACACCTCTAACGACTCCAGCTCAGCGGCCGCCGCCGTCGCGCAAACGTTCCAGGCTTTCCCGGGGCCCTCAGGAGAGCCCGAAGCAGGTTCGCTAGAGGCTGACATGAAATGTCGCGCGGCCACGGGCAACTCTCGAGGGAAACGTCGGGGCGCCGTGGCCATCTGCTGCAGAGGAAGCACATCCTGCGCGGGCAAAACAAGCTGCGCCCGAGCACGCGGGGTAGTAGCCACATCGCACAGAAGAGACACTGCTGCACCTACAGCTGCTAGCGAGTTGCTCACCAACAACATATCAGATAATCATGTTCGCCAGAGTGCAAGTGCCAGCTTCTATTTGGGATGCGCGCCCGTCGAGGGCATCGACCCAGTCCGAGTGATTCGGAACATCGGGCTCCTCATTGAAAACGCCCATCGCAACACGCAAGGGAATCAGCCAATTTCAAAGCAGCCCCAAGACGACGCAAAAAGTCCAAATTGATCGGAGCAGCGCTGACTGAGATCTGCAAGTAACCCCCCAACGTGAGTGATAGAGACCCCGCCGACACTCCAATCCAAAGGAATGGTTTCCAACCCAGCAAGACCAACGTGCGCGGGCACAGCAATCATGGGCCCTGCCGAGGAGCAAACGCCTGGAGCCTGCAGAACCTTTGAGAAACCAACGCGCCAACCACGTCTACGAAAATTGTGCTCATGCGCGCCCGCATCAAAAACCTTCGTCTCTTGGGCGGGAACAAGCTTCGCACCTAAAACCGGGGGAAGGTGAGGATGAGGTCTAACCCCGACAGGTCGGTTAAGTTAAGGAGGGCAGAGCCGCCCCAGCAGGAAACGAAGAGGAAGCACGTTGGCTACCCCGAAATATGTTGCTTCTCGTGCTTGCTAGCTGCTTCATCCAAGGCGGCCTCACTCTGAGAGCGCGCGGCTTCGCCCTCATCACCGCCGAACGCGTCGAGCCAGTCACCCTGCTTGAGTTGCTTCACTGCCGCGTCCATGTCAAGGTCTTTCTTGCTGTCAGAGGTGCCTGCACCGCCGCCGATTGTACCTGGATCATGACTAACGAACCAGCACCCCGATCAACACCATCACCGCCAGACTCACGAGCCTACCGGCTTCTTCGTCAGCGCGGCCTTGGCTTTGCCCCAGCCTGGGCCCTGTCACGCGCCGCCACAGAATGCTTGATCGCGTCGAGGGTTCTCTGCTCCAAGCTCAGCTCAATGAGCTGCCGAAGCAGACAGCTGGATCAGCAGGAGCAGGTGGCTCAGCCTTCGACAGCTCCTGAAAGGCCGACGCCGCCAGCTGGGCAGCCTCACGCTTCTGCTTCTCCAACTCGAAGTACTTGGCCTTGAGCTCGCAGGCTCGGCAGGCGCGCTTCGCAAATGCCTCTAGCGCTTTCTCGAATGACGCCTACGCCTTCTGGACCTGATCTTTGAGGTTGTCATGCTTCTGCTTGGCCTGGCGACTGACGGCCACCGGGCCACCGTCACGCGCGGCGCGCTCAGCAGTGAGGGTCGCCGTCTGCCCAGGGAGGAGCCAGATCGAGCTGGCCTCGAAGTGCGCGGCTGGCTTGAAGAACAAGGCCTCCTTGCGCTGTACGCACACCGAGACAGGAAGGGGGGAAAAGGGACGAGATCATCCCTGATAGCAGCGCCGTCGCCTGAAGAAGGCAGTCAGGGCAGCCATCGGCAGCCAGGGTGCCTGCTCCTCCTCCCCTTGCCCTCCTGCTCCTGCTGTTCCTGCTGTTCCTGCTGCTCCTGCTGTTCCTCCACCTCGTCCTCCTCCTTCTCCCCTGTTCCTCTTGCTCCTCCTCCTCCTCCTCCTCCTCCTCCTCCTCCTCCTCCCCATTTCCTCCTGCTCCTCCTCCTCCCCCTCCCCCTCCTCCCCATTTCCTCCTGCTCCTCCTGCTCTCCTCCTCCTCCTCCTCCTCCTCCTCCTCCTCCTCCTCCTCCTCCCCCTCCTCCTCCTCCTCCTCCTCCTCCTCCATCCTCCTCCACCGCCCTCCGCCCTTCTCCCTTCTCCCTCCGACCCCGCTCGTGGTCCATTCCGACTCTTTCTTCGAAGCGGATCCAGCTGCGGTGACAAGGGATCTCCAGGAGGCCCAACAACAAGGACAAAGAAACGCCAGGAAGGGCCACCGCTGTCTCGACTGGCCTTGCTCTATTTGCGATGTCTCGGCCCTCAGGCGGCAGTTCGGAACGATCCCGGCATCCCCAGAACGCCCGCAACGAGGCACAGCTGATGGGAACCGCCCCAGGCCTCGAAGACAGTTGGAAGCCGTCCGAAAACCGGACCGAAAGCTTGGAGAACCTTCCGAAAACCGTTGGACACCTGCCGACGACTACCCATCGAAACCGTCGAACCGGCAGCTGAACATCTTGTGGAGCAAACACCTTTCGAACCTCCGAAAAACTGTCGGAAACCTTCCACGAAAACGCCGGGCAGGGCCATCCTCGGTCCGAACTCTCGAGAGCGCCGCCGGCCTCTCGCGCCGCGCGCCCCTCGTCGCGCGAGGCGTGGCGCATCTGCTGGCCCAGCTGGCGGCGGCGGCGGTCCTCGCCGCCCAGCTCGGCCTCGAGCTCGGCGATCTTCTTCCTCAGCCGCTCCGTCTCCTGGGCGCCGGGGGGGGAGGGAGGAGGAAGGAGGGGGGGGAAGGAGGGAGAGGGAGAAGGAGGGAGGAGGGAAGAGGAGGGAGGAGGGAGGGAGGAGGGAGGAGGGAGGATGAGGAGGAGGAGGAGGAGGAGGAGGAGCACCGAGAATCGGGCATCGAGGATCGAAGGGGACCGGGATCGAGAATCGCCCTCTTAAAGGCCGCGCCCCCCGCCCTCGTCTTCCTCGGCCGCTCCGCCTCTTTGGCGCGAGGGGGGGCTCTGACACCCTCCCGTTGAGAAGCGATCCTCTCTCTGTGTGAAGAGGACGCGTCGGAAAATCGCGGTTTTGAGGCTGGAGGTTTTCCAGCGGGCTGGTTGGTTCTCGGCAGCCCTCCAACCTCGGGATGCCTTCCAGCAGCTTCGCCTCGCCGAGGGCGTTCTGGGGGGTCGTCCGAGAGCCGACGCATGACGCGAAAGCCACTGGCGCCCGCTGGTTGTGCGAAAGCCACGACGGACAGCTCCTGCCCACGTTCAGCCTCCCGGGGCCCTCAGCGGGCCCCCTGGGACCGCCAGAGAGCGCCTCGGGCTGAAGAGCGGGCCCCCGGGGAAACGCGGCGTCGGAATTCGAATGGGTGCCCGTCGAGACGACGGCGGTTTTCCTTGGCGTTTGCGCGTCTCTGCCGGGCCTCCCTCTCTGGAGGCTGCGTGTCGCCAGCGCTGGACACGCCCCGAACAACGGGGCCAGCGGGACCGACCCCGCGGTTGGTCTCAGCTGGCCCTCCTCCAAGCGATGGGTGCGGCCACGGAGGCCCTCCCGGCTTCGGGGAAGCCTTCTCAAGAGCACCCAGGAGGAGGAAGAGGAGGAAGAGGAGCAGGAGAAGGAGGAGGAGGAGGAGGAGGAGAAGGAGGAGGAGGAGGAGAGAGGGAGGATGGAGGAGGGGGAGGGAGGATGGAGGGAGGGAGGGAGGGAGGGGGGAGGGATTGGAGGGAGTAAAAGGGGGGGAGGGAGGAGGAGGGAGGGGGGGGGAGGGAGGAGAGGGAGGGGAGGGACAGGGAGGGAGGGAGGGAGGGAGGAGGAGGAAGGAGGAGGAGGATGACGAGGGGAGAGGAAGGCTGGGAGGAGGAGGCGGAGGAAGAGGAGGAGGAAAAGGAGGAGGAGGAGGAGGAGGTGGAGGAGGAGGAGGAGGAGGAGGGAGTCTGAGCATCGAGAATATGGGATCGAGGTAAATCGGCGATCGATGAGGATCGAAAATCGAAGAGGATCGAAGAGGAGGAGGACCAATGTAAACCCAGGACTCATCAACGATGTTGGAAGAAACCCTCCCCCATAGGTCCCTCTTAGTAGGGCCTTATAAGGTTCATTTCCGCTGAGGGAACTGAGACACCCGCTTGAAGACCCTGAAACATGCCAAAACACAAATTTCGCGATTCCAACGCCACGGGTCAGCCTGATTGTTGCGTCTTGTCGATCATGAACCGTGCTAGAACACCATTCCTGGGACTTGAACAGTGCGAATCAACGTATATGTTGCGCCCTCGCAATCCTGAGTCCTTTCAAAACACCATTTTTGGCACGTTGCCCATCAGAACCCGATAAACCCCTGCAGAGTTTGAAAACGAGCGTGCGCGGCGCGAAAGCGAGTCACATGTTGAAAACGAACCGCCGTCAATCAGTGTAACTCTTGCATGATTTTCTCTTTAAATAAAGGTGTAGGTGTGCGCGGCGCTATGGCGAGAACCTCATTTTGAACATCACCCGCCCTCAATCCGCGAAGCTTTTGCAATTTCTGTTTAAACGAATGTGCGCGGCGCCCAGGCGAGAACCACACTTTGAACACCACCCGCCTTCGGCCCGCGAAACCCTTTAAATTCTTTGCAACGAATGTGCGCGGCGGCGCGAAATGGAGAACCACATCTTGAAATTCACCCGCCCTCAATCCGTAAACCTCTTGCAAATGTTTACGCAGCTGGGAAACGTTATAACAAAATCAGCAAGACGATCATCGTAAATGATCTGCAGACTGCAACGCCCAAAGAGGACCATTGAGTGATATTCGCCTCTGCAAGTTGGCAGCGTGCGCAGGCGTGCACCATGGGCCATTTCATTGATATGCCACGCTTTGGCTTGCGCGCCCAGTGGCAACATTGGGAGGCGGACGCCCCTCAATGCCCAGGTGCTCTTCCAAATTGCTCTTTCACAGGGCCGGTGGCGTGGGCGGTTCCACGTTCTGCCTTGCGGGTTCGTTCCCGCCAGTCGGATGGCTAACCAGCAGCGCGCAATGCAGGAGAGGGGCTTTTTCGTAACATTGACAGGCGGATGTCAATTGATGCGACGGGCCCCGCCTGGTCTGATTCAATGTATTTTCGGTTTCCATCCCTGTGCCAGTTTTGTTATTTTTTCACGGGGATGTAAAGCGAATGAGCGCGGCGCTACGGCGAGAGCCATATTTTGAAAACTCTTGCCCTCCATTTGTGAACCTGTTGCCAATGTTTTGGCTTCAGGGTCATAAAGCGGTGAGGGAATCTGAAGCGAAACGCCCGGCCCGCCCATTCGACCAGCCTCGGGGTGCGACAGGGAGGAGTTCTTCATAAGGAAAGGGGATGGAGGAGCAGGATTCGGGTCGGGCGGGGACGCCACGTCAGCTGGCCCTCCTTCAGGGTTATCCTCGCGCCCTTGGGCGCCCATGCCACGGCGAGCGCTCCTCCTCGCGCCCCGTGGGGGTGGCCGGGTGGCCAGCGGCCCTGGCGGAAACGGCGAGCAGAAACCTCCAGGGCCCGATGGCCTTTCGATGCCTGGTCTCCGCGCGGTGTCGCCGCTCGTCACGCCTGCTGGTCAGCTCGGCCTTGAGCCTCTGGTTTTCCGCCTGCTGCTGCGCGACCACGCGCTCCAGGCCCTCGACGATCTCCCGTAGGCCCCGCTCCTGTAGATTGCGCGCAAGAGTGACCCTTCAGTTATCGTGCTGCCATTAGGTCGGGCCTGTCCCCCTGCAGGGAGATCCTGGACGAGGATTTTCAAGCACCCCACAAATATTCCAGAATGGACAAGAAATACAAACGGAAAAACGTTCCCTGACTGGTTCGGATGATGTTTGAATATTCCTCCCGTGGAGGGACGTGCCCGACTGAATGCTACCATTATGTCGGGCGTGTCCCCCTACAGGAGGATCTTGTGCGACAGCTAAAAAATATTCACAACATGCCTCACAAATAGTCAAACATAGTCACACACAAAAAATCGTCTCCAGACTATCTTCAAATTATTTTTGAACATTCCCCCTGTAGAGAAACGTGCCCGACGGAACGCTACCATGGAGCGGCGCAGAGCAAAACACAACCGCGACCGGGCCTCTCGGTCACGGGGGGGCTCCTGGCCCTTCGAAGCGGCCCGAGAACGCGAGAGACCCTTCCGAGCCCAAAGAGCGAGCTCTGGTTCCGCGAGGCGTGGCTGCACGTTTAGGTCGGGCCCGTCCCCCTGCAGGCGGATTCTCGACGAACTCAGGGGAGGGGCCGAGGGGGACGAGCCACGACGAACCACGAACCACGACGAAAATAAGGATGTCCGCGGCCCGGGGGAGCTGTCCTGGGAAGCCTGGACGGAGCAAGCCTCCGAAGGGTGGGTGGCCCAGGAGAGCTGGGGCTCAGGCTCAGCAGGGGAGGGGCCGAGGGGGACGAACCACCACGAACCACGAACCACGAAGAAAATAAAGATGTCCGTGCTCTAGAGCACAGCTGTGCAATGTAATAAATCATTAAATATCAAAGACTTGTCATGCATACTCCAAAAATCATCCCCAGACTATTTTTGACTGTTCTTGAATATTCCCCGTGTAGAGGGACGTGCCCGACTTAACTGCACGCGAGTTGCGGCCTGCTAGAGCCAATCTTGGAGCAGCATCCTCCTCTGAGCCCCCCGACACCTTAGCACCCCCCGCGGTTGTCCCAGTGGAAGGGCCCCTGCGAACCCGCGCCCAGGGTCACTCTGGCGAAGGGTCCCTCTGACGCGCAGCCGATCCTTGCGCCCCGCCGGCGTGCCGCTCCCGGCCGGCGCCGCGGCGGCGGCGTGCGCGGCGCCGTCGCCGACGTCCAGGCTGAGCTCCAGGATCCTCTGCTCCTCGGGGAACCAGGAGGGGCCTGTACAGCCACTCCGCGGACCTCTCCCGGGGCGCATTGTGACCAGGATTTCGGAGCGACTCCAGCCGAGGCGACAAGGGTCCCCGGGGAGGCCCAGCATGGCGACAGAGAGGCAAGGGTAGCGGTGTCGGCACCTTTCCCTCACTGAGCTCCAGCCGCATGGTCCGCGAGTGCGACTGCTCGCGCTCGAAGCGGAACTCCATCGCCTGGTGTTCTTGATCCAAGAGTCGGTCGGCGAGCTCGGCCTCGCCCCTGCGCCGACCCGCGAGCTCGTCCTCGAGCCGCTTCACCTGCACGTTCAGGCGCATGAACTCCTGCTCGCGTGCAGCCCAGTCGCCCTCTCCAGCGGCGGCACGAGCACGGCGCAGTGCAAAGTCCATGTCCGCCAGCGCCCTCTCTTTCTCCTCAAGGTCGCGCCGCAATCCCTCTGCCACGTGCCTCTCACGCTGGATGATGGTCTGGGCGTCCACCTCCAAGCGCTTGCGGCACGCAGCCAGCTCCTCCTCGGCGCGGAACAGCTTGTCACGGAGCTCCCGGGTGCCCCGGACCTCCAGCTTCAGCTCCTTGACGATCTCAGGGGCGCCGCTGCCAGCGCTCAGCAGCACGCGCAGCGGCCGGGCGGCGGGCTCGGTTGGCGCTCCAGCAGCCTTCGTCGGCGCGCCTGCGGGCACGGCCAGGGCAAGCTGCGCCTTGGCCTCGTTGAGCTCGCGCTGCAGGCGCTGGCATTCCTCGTCAGAGGCCTTCGCCGCAGCAGTCAGCGCCTCGACCTTGCGCTTGTGCCGGGCCTCCATCTCAGCGATGGCGACTCGCTGCTGCTGGTGCTGCACAGGCGCAGCGCGCTCGCCCCCTGCGGAGCTGACCCGGCGGCGCTGAGCCTGCAGCTTGGCGTCCGCAGGCCGCGAAGCTGGCGGCAGGAAGAGCTCCTCGTGCGTTGCGGCGGCATCCCCGGGCGCCTGGTCCGCATTGCCAACGAGTCGCAGCAGGTCGTGCGTGCTGAACAGGCCACGGTCGTCCACCTTAAGTGCGCCACGGAGCTGCCGCCGCTCCTCCGCGCCCAGGCCCAGCTGCATCCTTAGAAGAGAACGGAAAAGCGACGGTCCGCGCGGATGTCTTGGATCGGCGCTGCCTGGCGCGCGGAGCGCCCCAGGGGCGGCGCCCGAGGCGCCGCCTGGGGGAGGTACAGGGCAGATCCAAGAATCCCGCGCGGACCCCCAGAAGCGTTTGGCTGCATGCAGTGTGAAACCAGCCTCGAACTTATCCGCATCCCAAATATTGACAAGTTTAACGGCGATGGCAATCTGATGCGCGCGCCCTCAGATAAAGAGGGAATGCGTGAAACCGGCATCGAGAATGTGATGCCGATCATAGGTTCGGAGCCTGCTTCAGGATGGAACATATTCTCTTTCTGACAGCCCTCTGGGCTTAGGTGGCTTAACGAACTTTGCCTTCTCTCTTTCCACAGCCCCATCCGGGGAGGGGTTTGCCCCTCCCCCTACCCCCCTCCCCTGGGTCTGGGAGGGGGGGGGCGCGAAGCATAAAAACGAACAAGATGGCTTCAAGATGGCCTCAGAGAGCCCAAGAGGGCCGCTAAGATGGCTCAAGAGAGCTGAAGATGGCTCAGGATAGCTCCCACATACATCGAAGACGGCCCCAGACGGCCCCAAGATGGTTTCAAGTGCCCTCAGGGCCCTCAAAGGACCCCGCAAGAGGCCAACATGGCTCCAAAACCTAAGGAAAATCAATGATGCTTGCGTTCTGGCCTTTTCGCTTCTGATGGGCTTCCGAGGCCTCAAGATGGCCCCAAGCTTCTGATGGGCTTCCGAGGCCTCAAGATGGCCCCAAGACGGCCCAAGAAAGCCCCAAGAGGGGCCCAACAGGGTCCCAAGAGGGACCCAGGAGCGCCCGAGAGCACCCCAAGAGCGTCCCAAGAAGGCCCAAGATGCAATGTTTGAGCCTCCGAGGGGGGGACCTGAATTGAGGACCCCCCCGTTTGAGCTACAGGGGCCAAGACGGCCCCAAGAGACCTCTCAGACGCGCCCACAGGGCCCAAAGAGGGCTCCAACATGGCCCCAAAAGAGCCCCAACAGGGCCCCAAGAAGGCCCCAAGAGGACCTCCAGCGAGCCCCAAGATGGCTCCAAGAGACCCCCTGATAACCTCTCACAACGACGCTTCAGCTCGCCTGGCAACTTCTGAGTGGGCTGGTGGGGATAATTACGCGAAGCGCGAGGCATGTTCTCTGTCTGACTCGCCGAGGTCCTGCCCGCGGCGACGCAGAACGCGTCGAAGACCACCCGCCCATGCTGGCCCGGGTCCAGGTCCGCCAGCAGCGCCGTGAGGCTGACGCCGCGCCGCTGCAGCACGCCCCGCAGCGCCCTGGCCGCGGGCTGGGCCTGCAGCACCGCGGCGGCGGTCGCCTCCTCGGCCACGCGGGCGGCCTTGAGCGTCGCTTGCCCGATCCCTATCCCCACGGGGGAGGGGCGGTGGGGATCGGGTTAGGGGCCCAGGCCCCCGACGTCGTGAGTTAGTCATAACGTAAAACAGGGCCAGGATCGGGATAAATCGCCCCAGAGCGCTCTCAGAGCGTTCCGGAACGCTCTGGAGCGGCCGCGGCGCCCAATACATCCTCCAAACCCGCCGATTCTCAGAGATTTCGAGTAATCCCGATCCAATTTTGTCCCGATCTTCGCGTCGTTTGATAACGTCGGCCCCCAGAGGTCTGGACCCATGCCACGGGACCGGCTTGCCATCCCAAGCAGTGCCCCAACTGGGCTTGCCCAGCGGGTTCTGACTTGGTGAAAGGTCGTTGCCTCGGGGGGGCACTTTGCCAGATGCTCGCAAGTTCCCCAGGTTTCCCAGGTTCATCGGATCAAGCAGTGCCAAGCAATGCCAAGCAATGCCAAGCACTGCGCCCATGCAGTAG